CTTGTCTTAATTGTTCCGTGGAGCTGCTGGGGGATTCGAACTGCTGGGGATGGAGGGCCCTTCTGGTCAACAGCACAACACTGGGGACTAGGCTTGTACAGTGCGTGCCCCAGGGCTGCTGTGTGGGTGGCGTTTCTTGTTTGTTTCCGACTGTGTTGTCTGCTGTTCCATTCCCTAGAGAGTGGTTGCCAAGCCGAGGTAATTTGTCTCTCCTCCCCAGAGTTTGCTGGGCGATGTCCAGGGACACTTGGGGTTGTCACAGTTTGTGGGAGGTGCTCTGCCGTTGAAGGCAGAAGCTGGGCTGTCACTCAGAACCCTGCAGGCACTAGACACTCACCCTGGAGAAGGATCCAAGCTGTGTGGAGGTACTGGTAGGGGCCAGCCCCAGGCCAGGGGATCCTCGCCAGCCTGGCCTTCTCTGGGGGTGGGGTGTAGGTGTCTACAGATCCCTCAGATCATATGCACCCCACTTCTACAGGGACAGGAATAAACTTTCAGAGTTGAGGCTGTAGTATCAGGCTGCCTAGGTGGGTAACTCCTCCCGGGCCCCTCCCTGCCTTCCTGTTCACAGCAGTCCCCGTGTATCGCGGGATCAGATCCTGGGAAGTGCTGGGTTTTCACTGGCGACTATACAGCCCTCTTCGGCTGGAAGCTCCACTGATAAATTTTGAGCGTCACAGCAGCATCTCCTCCATTGTGGGATAGAGAACATTGAGTGCCAGGAATCAAACCTGGGTCTCCTTCATGGAAGGGGCAAGTTCTACCAGCGAGTGCCCACACCCTTTCCTGTCTCTCTAAGCCTCTATTTCCTGTCTCTAAAATGGGGAATGTGGGGACAAAACAGGCCCAGCCCAGTCTCTGTGAGGCCTGACCCTGTGTGTGCGTTCTGGAGCTTTCCCTGGAGCATGGCGAGGCCAGGTCTCTGCACAGCTGTGACTGCTTTCACAGTCCGAGCAGTTGAGTCATGGCTCCAGGGACCTTACCTATGGCTTGGAAAGCTGAGAGTGTCAAAGGCACTCATGCTCTCGCCCTTTCCAGAAAATGTTTGCTAGCCCCGGACGTAAGTGGGGAAAGAATTTAGCAAGATGCCGAGGTGCCTCAGGGCTCCAGGGCCAGCAGCTGAAGTTTATAATTAAATCATCCCGGAAGGAAGATAGGTGACTCCCAACTGCAGGCAGGATTTAGCTCTGCCCCAGGCCTGCAGATCCTGAAGACAGAGGTGTCCGGGCAGAAGCGCACGCCCTCCGGTTGCAGCTGCTGATCTTTTGGGAAGAAATTACCAAACCTTTCTTGGTGCCTCTGGATGGGCTTCCGCATTTTGATAGCACATCTGATCCCTTTTACTGTGGTGCTACAGGGGAAACCCACAGTGGTCTTATTTCTCTTCTTTCCATCCCCTTACTATCTCCCCCCCACCCCACCCCCCGCCAAGAAAACAGAATTCTCACCACTGGACTGATAGTATCACCATGATGATGTTGTTACGTGCGGTCGAGTCTCCTGCGACTCATAGCGACCCTGTGACAACAGCCCTAAACCCTGTTCAATCCCGTGCCAATCTCATCGTCTCTGATACATCTACTCCCGTGACCCCAGTCACTGAATCAGTCCACCTCATAGAGGATCTTCCTCTGTCCTGCACTGTCCCTCCACCCTCCCAAGCATGATGTCCTTTTCCAAGGACTGATTCTGCCTTGCGGTATGTCCGAAGTATGTCAGATGAAGCTTCAGAATCCTTGCCTCCAAGCAGCAGCCCAGCTTCACCTTTTCCAGGATGAACCTGTTTGTTTTCCTAGCAGTCCATGGCATATTCAACACTCTTCTCCAGCACCACAGCTCAAAGGCATCAATTCTCCTTCTATCATCCCTGGTCATTATTCAGCTCTCTGATACATAGCAGGTAATTTCGAAGACCATAGCCTGGACCAGGCACACCTTAGTCTCCATACTGGCATTGTTGTTCTTCAGTACTTTGGAGAGGTCTGTGACAGAAGACTTTACCAATGCAATGTGTCTTTTAATTTCCTGGCTGCTGGTACCATGAGTGTTGATTGTAGAGCCTAGCAAACTGAAGCTGTAACAGTCTCAATCTCTTCACCATCTATCATGATGCTGCTGTGGGTCCAGTGGTGAGAATCTTTGTTTTCTTGATGTTGAGCTTCAATCCATATTGATGGCTGCAGTCCCTGACCCTCTGCAACAAGCACTCAGGTCCTCCTCAGTTTCAGCAAGCAAGGTTGTATCACTGCACAATGTAGATTGGCGATGAGCCTACCTCCAATCCTGATGCCACATTTCTCCTCATAGAGCCTAGACTCCCAGATAATTTGTTCTGCATGTAGATTGAAAAGATAGGACAATAGAAAACATTCTTGGCACAACAACATTATAGATGGAGAAAAAAATCGATACTGTTAACATTATCTAACTTGGTTCTATAATCACACAGTTGGTACCAGCAGTCAGGAGGTCAGGAGATGCGTTGCATTGGTAAAGTCTGATTCAGGCCATGGTCTTCTCAGTCACTTGCTATGCATCTGAGAGCTGGACTGAGGATGACAAAAGAATTGATGCCTTTGAGCTGTCGAAAGAGGAAACAATATCTTGGAGAAGATGCTCCTTGGAGGCAAGAATGACAGAGCTTCGTCTCGCATCCCTTGGGCGTGGTGCTAGAAGGCGGTGGGCCTTGGAAAGGGGCGGCGTGCTTGGGAAGGTGGGTGAATGAAAGGAAGCGGCTCAAGCAGACAGATGGACGCAGGGACCGCAGCAGTGGACTCGAGTGTTGGTGCTGAGATGGCACCGATAGAACGAGGTTCACTCTGTTCACAGGGTTGCTGGAGGTTGTCCTCAGCTCGCCTGGCACCCGCCACCACCACCAGCTGCCCTCAAGACCAACCGTGGTCCTGTTAGCTAAACGGTTAAAGGCTAGAAAGCCTTGCTTGTTCACAGTTGAGCAAGGCAGGGGTTATTTTTTTTTTCTGATGAGAGAAGAAGGGCGCGAAAGATGGGCCATTGGCACCCACCAGCTGTTCCTCCAGAGGAGTCCCTGGATTTACAGTCTTGAGTGCCTGTGGGGCACTTCTGCTCAGTTCTGTGAGGCAGTTCTGCTCAGTTCTGTAGGGTTGGCTTGAGTCAAATTGGACTTGACGGCAATGGGATTGGTTCTGGTGAGGAAACCAGGATCCAAAGAGAAACAGCTTCCATAGTCAGCCGTGTGAGAACCAAAGGGCAGCTTTTGCCTGGCTCAGAAGGCAGATGGAAACAGGAAACATAGGGAAGAATTGGGCAGAGTGCCGTGACCGGGCCATGTGCCTTCCAGTCAACAGCGACCTCCTTTGCCCTTCTGGCCTGCCTGGGGGTGACGAAGGTGACATGGGGGAAAGCTTCCCCTCAGCCAACACTCTACCCCCTGGATTGTTGGGAAGGTGCGCTGTGGCCTTGGGCAGAAAGTGCTGCCCTCAGTGACTGCTGAAGGGCTCTGTCCACAGAGGTCACATGCAGCCCCCTGCTCTCGCCTGAGTGCTGAAAGGCTCTGCCCGTGCGGTGACATGCTGAGGGGCCAGGGTGTTTAGAGGCCAACAGTGGCTCTGTGGTAGAGTACTTGCCCCTCACACAGGAGACCCAGGTTCGATTCCTGGCCAGTGCACCTCATGCAGGGGTCCTGCCCAGCTGGAAGCACATGTTTCTGTGATGCTGAACGTGTTTCAGCAGAACGTCTAGATTAAGACAGTCTAGGAAGTAAGGCCTCTGATCCCCTGCTGAAAGCATCCTGAGAAACCCCTAAGGATCCCAACACTCTGCTCACCAGCCAGTCAGTGGACGGTGTCAGGGACAGTGCAAGATCTGGCCGGGTAGGGGGCAGTCACTGTGAGCAGACTGCGTGGCTGCTGACCAAACAGTGAAACGGAACATGGGAGCCTGGGGGGGCATGGACACGCAGTGGCAACAACCCCGGGGGTAGGCACGGACATGCAGTGGGAAGGCTAGGGGTGGGCAGGGGTCAGCAGGATGTGCAGTGGGAAGGCTAGGGGTGGGCAGGGGTCAGCAGGACGTGCAGTGGGAAGGCTAGGGGTGGGCAGGGGTCAGCAGGACGTGCAGTGGGAAG